AATCAGCTTTAATCATTATTACTCTTTTTTTAAAAAAAAAAAGCTATATTACATGCAACATAAAAAAAAAAAAATCACTTGAATCTTAAATAAAAAATATATAAATAAATAAATGTATAGCATAGTTTTTTTTTTGTGTGTGTAAATCATGTTTTGAATACTTTTAAAAAAATCACCAATATTTTAAATAAAGTTTCATTTTTCTAAAAAAACCCAACCTCTCCCCCCAACCTCTACAACAGAAGAATATTTAGTAATATATAGAAATATATACTGCGTACAAAAATAGAGTATGAGCATGTGATTATTTTTTAATGAAATTTGGCAGTTACATAGAAAATAGATATACAAAATTGACTGAAAAGTAAGAAAAAAAAAACATCATGCCTTCGATATCAATTTACTTCCAAAACAGGAACGAAGTTTTCAATAGTAATAAAATCACTAAAAACGTTAGTAACTGCAACAAAAAAAAAAACTACAATAAACTTACAACACTCTACTTTAATATATTATCTAAGCCAATATAAAATTCTAAAAAAAGACGACAAAATCCATCCTTACGACACCTACTTCGAGCGCGCTGTGAAAAACGGTCACAGATTTTATCTTTAAAATCGGTGCCGTAAATTGCAGATACGCACGTATCTAAATATTAGTGAACATATTTTTAAAATTTTGTGTTTATGTAGTATGATTTATATATTCTTAAACTTGAATAAAACATTTAGTAGTATTTAATAATGTTAAAAATAGTAAAAAATATTTTTTATTTTATTAGTAAAAAAGTATGATGATTTTAAAAACACTGGACATTTAGAGACCACTTCAAAAAAAAAGCTGGACTAGTAGCGAATGTATTTTAAAAACAACACGGTTTTTAAAATACGCTTAAAGGGTTAAAGCGATATCAAGATTCTTAAAAAGTTGTTTTTAGGAATTTTATTTAAAAAGAAATTTATTTAAACAAAAGAATTTTAGTCTTCAAAAAAATTTCTTATTCAAATAATTTTGCAATTGAAATTTAAAATAAAATAAAAAATTGTAAAAAATTAAAAGAATTTTAACGCTCAATAGTTATAAATTTAATTTAGCAGCGTTCGTAATCAGGGCCATCCCAAAGGGGACAGCCCTGATTACGGATGTCTCCCCCTTCCCCCCCCCCCCCCCCCCCAAAGCTGTCATATAAGCATTTGAGTTGGCACATTGAGCAAGTTTTAAGCTTAAGGCTAAAGTTGGCAAATTGCAAATATTGAGGATCCTTTTTTTTTTTTTTTGGTGTCTATAGTTGACAAAAAATATAATTGCACCCCCCATGTAAGACCTCTTCGAGATGGCCCTGTCCGTAATACCCAGCATAGCGAGAATTGTTGCTGAAAGTTAAATGTATATCTAGCTATAGTAACAATATCAGGTTTAGAATTTAGTGCAAGTGAGAAAGAAAGTTTTATTTAAATCATAACATTTTGAATAGTTAATTATGTTTTGTTTCTTGAAAATAGTTTTAAAAGAAGAAATGTTTTATTGCAAACATGTTGTGCACTTAACAAAAGAATCAGGATGCATGGTTGTAGCTATTGAACAACATTCTGGAGCTTACGACTATCAGAGTCACATTACAAAATCTATTGATAATCAATCTTGTCAAGTTATATAGTGACTTCTACCGGCTACAATTCACTGATGTGCGAAGTACTATTATTGGAAACATAATTAATTAAACATTAATTAGATTACAAAAGTTAAAATAAAAATGAATTATAAAAAATTAAAATTAATAAATTATTTTACTTCTGCTCATAGAAATTTAAAAGAATAATAGTAGTTTAAGCATATTCTTAAACTTAAGGAAATATAATTCTATATATTAAACTAAATTTTTTTTTGTTTTATTTTTTATTGCAAAACAATTTGAATGAAAAACTTAATTATACTTAAATTTTTAATAGTAAGCTAGATTAAGAAACAATAAATTATAAAAAATGTGGTATCTAATATTTTTTTCGTCTATAGATTATAAACTCGTATGGCATGTTTTTGCGCAAATATGAATGTCAAAGTTTTATGGCAATAATGTTAAAATATAATTAGAACAATTTATTTACTTTGTTTTATTTTAAACACGTTTTATGTTATTAAGTTTAAAACAGTATAAAACAGCAATAAAGCGTCACGAAGTTGTTTTACACTTTTTATATTGTTGAAACAACTTTGCAATTTGTTTTACTGTTATTTTAAGCTTTTTACAATAACAATTAAATACTCTTTAAAACTTATTAAATAGTTTTCTATGATTTATTAAGGTGGTTTAAATATTGTAATATTTGCATTTTTACTCTGCAACTTAAATTTTAAATTATAACTTAAACTGTAAATTAAACAGTAACTTACCATAAGGTAAGTTTTGGCAGAGTTTAAAATAGCATAAGTTACTTACGTTATTTTTAAACTCCGCCAAACAAGAAAATTATAAGATAACATTTAAATATGAGAGAAAATATGTTAAAAAAGTAACAATTACAAAATAATGTAGAAAAGATACAATTTTATACGAACGAAAACCACCCCCACCCCCCATTACCGCAAAGTGATGCAAGTGATATAGGGGGAAGGGGCAAAAAAAAAATTTTTAACACGATTAGATTTTTTTGTGTTAATTCTAGCCCTGTATTATAATGAGTTTTAACAACATAAAGATATCCTAATATTGAAATAGAACTTATTCGTTACGGCGAACGTATAAAAAAGTTCAAGTTTATTTTTTTGTAGTTTTAACTTTAATTTAAGAAAATTGAAAAAGCAGTAAAAACAGTCATTTAAAAAACAGCTGTTTGCTGTTTTTGTTTTTACTTAAAAAAACAGTTTTACTGTTAAGCAGTGTTCAGAAACCCTTATATCAATATTATTTGTTTTTTTAATTTCTGTGATTTTGTTACCATTGCTACAAGCTCTTCAACATCATTACAATACATCATAGATTGCTAAAAGTTCTTGAATGTCGTTACAATATATCATAGAAGTATTTTTTTTTTCTCTACTAACTATACATGCTTAAAAAACCAAAATTAATGATACAGATTTTCTAATCAGCTTGTTGTTCTTGTAAGTACTATTGAAACCACTTTTCCATTCTTCTTCACTTCACAGAATGTCTGTAACTTTAATCATATTGTGATTACTTAGAATTCAAACAAAATTATTTTAAAAATTGGTTTAAAAACATGAGAAAATTTTCTCCCTCTGATAACTCTGGTATTCAGGTCTAAATTTCATAGCGTATTTCTAATAACTAGAGTTGCCATAAAACATAATTAAATTTTACCATAGTATCATAATTAAATTTCAACTAAAGTATATTAAATATAAATATTTTACCATAACGTAGCAAGTAAATAACAAGTTTTTTTCTACAAAATAATCAGCAAGCTTTTTTTACATTTTGATTAAAGCGTGGTAGTAAGGTCTGAGTTTCCAAAATATTTAATAACTAATCTTAATATTTAATGATTGAAAGAATAATTTATAAATTTAATTAGTGGGGCTGATATATCATGCCAATATTATAAATATATATCAGAAGATTTTATTTGAAACATTCACTTAAAATGCCTAATTATGCAAAAGAACACGTTTAATCAACGTGTTCTTTTGCATAATTAGGCATTTTAAATGAATGTTTCAAATAAAATCTTCTGATATATATTTATAATATTGACATGATATATCGGGCCATTATTTAAATTTCAATGTAATGACCAAAAACATGCTTTCAATTCATTTGTCAATGCGTCTGAGGAGTTACTATTTCAATTATCATCAATTAGCAAGGTCGTTGCTAGTTGTTAATATTTAAATTCTAATAATGAATTCTGATGATAACTGAAATAAGAACAATAGTAAGTAGTTAATAAAGTTCAGTTTGCAATTTCACTTTTGAAACTTGAAATACATGCTCATCGGCATGATTTTTTTAATAATTTTTAAATTTAAGGTGTTTGAAATAATCCTTTAATTCCTAACCACCCCCACTCTTAGGGTATGGATCATGAAAAAAAAAAATCAATTTTTTGTTTTTGTTATATTAAACTAAATCAAAATTCATTGATAAAATCTTAAACGAAAGGAGATTTTTTGACGAAATTCGAAATCTATCGATGAATTTTGATCTAAATCATAATAGACATTAAAAAAACCTTAGGAGAGAATGTTCTAGGATAAAAGGATAGAGATATTATCTTTAGGATAGAGGCAATTAAGATTTTAGTTACTTTATCTTGAACAATAAATTTACTTGGCACTCGCCTAAAATATGTGATTTCTCTCCGAGCCCCCGGTGTTTTTTTTTTTTTTTTTTTACATTTTTGGAATGATAGTTATTTGATGATAAAAATAAAACGTGTTGCAAGGTCTTAGAACATCTTCTTATGTACCGTGCGATGCTGAATCAAATTTTTTAAAAAATTTTATGATGTTAATGATTGTTTATATATTCTCCGTCTCCGAATTTGATAAAACTAGCCCTGGTCTAGTTTTATCAAATTCGGAGACGGTTCGTCGCCGGTTACTAATTAGGAATGATGACAATGTAAAAAATACTACCCCCAAATTAAAAAGACTTAATTTTATTTGAAACATCAAAAAATTTTGAACTTTTTGATTTGCGAAAATTTATCTCAGACAAAATTATTTTTTTTAATTTTTTAATTAATTAGAGTTCAAATGTACTTACAATATAATGCATTCGTAAAAAGATTTGTTTTGTCAATCAATTTTTAACTAAAGTTATCATTTTTTTTAAGTTACATATATTTTATAAATAATTCCTTGTAATTATTATAATTAAATATTAATCCAAAAAAAGTCACAAAGACTGTAATAAGTTTAAAATATTTTTGTTCCTACTAAAATACATTAGACACAATACAGTTATATAGATTTCTCTTTTTGCGTTTTTGTTTAATAGTTTTTCTTGTTTCAACAGCATTCTTTACTTTTTGCAGATATTACGTTACAATGGCTCATTCAACACTCAAAATCGAAAAGTTAATTTTGTATAAAATTTGAATCTTGTTTTGTGCAATTTTTTTTATATATTATAAATTATGTGATTAGTCATAAAACGTTACCTCTCTTAATTTTTATTCACTTGCTAAATTGAAAAATTTCAAATCACCAATGCAATCAATTATTCTTTGTATATTTTTAAAAAATTTTATGTTAATTTTGTTAAAATACGTGTTGAAGTTAAATCTCAATAAGAAATATATTTGTTATGTAATGCATAGTTTTTATTTTTTGTACTCCATCGAAAGTGGTGAAAAGAGTTGAAAAAAGTTTAAAACTACAGAAAAAATGAAGTTTAAATTGTTTCATTAAAACACGTCTTTGAAATGAAGAGACTTTCTTTGTTTTTCAAAGCGAAGAGTTATTTCTTAGTGTTGTGATAGGCAGACGTGAATTTCAGGCACCCCCTATAGTAAGTCCGTAAAAAACGCTTATACGAAACGAGTATTGTTGAAAACCATACCCTAACCAAACCCTAACTCTGAAACTTAGGGTTAGGCTCCGGGTTTGGTTTCGGTATGGCTTTAAATAAAATAAACTTTTTTTTGGGTTTCAGGATTAGAGTATGATTTTCAGTAAATGTTATGCGTAAAACGTGACTTGTTTTTTACGGTTTTCTGAAGGGGGTGCCTGAAATACGCGTCCGCCGTTGTGATGAGTTTACAATAAGATTTAACACAATTCGTGGTTTTTAAATATTCCAATATCCGAATAACAATTTTAATTCGAATTATTAAAGTAATTCAAACGGCAATAAACATGAAATTAAAATATATATATTTATTAAAATTGTTTTATTTAATATTCATTTATAAATGAAATTGAAATCAGCTTTTTTTTTAAATACAATTGCATTTATATATTCATATATTTTTGTTTTTAATTTTGACACCACAATTCTGGATGTTGAATCCAGTCAGTTAAAACCGTTCTTCGTTGATCAAGGATTGATCAGCTCTTGGTTGAAGAGTTGACGGAATACTCTTGTAACAGTAAAAATGAAATCAGTTTTACTGTTATAAGAGTATTGTATTATATATCCATATTTATTTCAGTGGCTTTATAAGTTTGAAATTTTGTTTCAAAGAATTAAAATTATCTCTATTTGTTAGCTTTGTAGAATATTGGCTTTTTCTTTTTTTTTTTTTTTTCAATTTAACTCTTTGGAAACTGATATTTATATGCTCATGTTCAGCACGAATAAATAAAACCTATGCATTCTTTATCATTAATTAGATGTATAGTTGTTATGTTTTTTTGAAATAATCGTTTCAATAGCATCAATCAACAGCATTTAATTCAATCGAACTAATTTTTATATAGCTATATAGCATAAATCTGATATAGGGCTGTCCATATTCCGTAGTAAGTTTTTGTTAATGGTTCAATAATTTTTTTTTTTTTTGATGAGGATAATGTTTTTTACTTTCAAAAAAATATATATTTAACCAAGGTTAAATAATTTCCATCCTTTTAACATTTAACGATTCAGTTTACAACTAAAACAAAAATGTGATTAAAAGTATAGAGAACCATTTAAAAAAATGCTTGCTCTGAACAAAAAGTGAATAAAAGTAAAAGGTGTATAAAAAAAGTTATTAAACTTTTAACTTAAGAACATATTTCTAGTTTATAACTACAAAAACTTACTCCGAACAAATAATAAAGGTTAAAGGGTTCACAAAAATGTATACACTATACACGTTTAAATTATGAACATATTTCAAATTAATGCAACACTTCAATGTGCCAATCTTCCTCGCTTTAACTTCATGCCTAATTTAATTTCATAGTAAAAGCCAATTACTTATAATAGAGTTAGTATAACGAAAAATACGTTTAACAAGTTCTATAAACAAGGGTCGACAACCTGTATTGAGACAGTAAAGCCAAAAGTTGCAATTTACAAAGTTTTAGTCTGCTGTGCAAACAAAAAAGATTTGAATAAGTAAATGATCTACTTTATATAATTTAATTTTTTATACCAGGGGTCGGCAATCTGCGTCTTGCAAGCTTCGTGTGGTTCTTTCGTCAAGATGCGCCTCATTAGCTCCATGCACAAATATTATTATAATATTGAAATAAAGATGTTGGTAGCACTTTAAAACAGGGCTGTGGAGTCGGAGTTGCGAAGTTACTACATTTTTAGCGGAGTCGGAGTCGCTAAACAAAATCGCGACTCCGACTGCTATAGTAAAACTTCTCGGTATTGGACGTGCGTATACAAAACATTCAATCAACCTTATGTTCATATTAAATCTCAAAGAACGCTTCATAAATTTTTCAAAAAAAACTTTTTAACATATTGCGTAATACTTTTTAAAGAATTAAAAGAGTTTTTCAAAAGCTTTGCTTTGGAGTTTTAGTCGCAGTCGGAGTTAGAGTTGGAGTTGCACTCAAAAAATTTCAACAACTGGAGTCGGAGTTGTACACAAAAAATTCCAACAACTGGAGTCGGAGTCGTTACTTTTTTTTTACGACTCCACACTTCTGCTTTAAAAACAGAATTTTGAAAAAACTACCAACATCCTTGTTTCAAATTTTTTTTTAATCGTCAACCAAATCTTTATTTTAATATTATATTAATGTTTGCGCATGGAACTTAATAGCCGCATCAACCGCAGGTTGCCGACCCCTGGTATAAATATTTAAATAATATAATGTAGACCTTACTCTACATTATAATATTTAAATTATTTTTTTAACGGTCTACATTATTTTGATTAGATTATTTACTTACATAAATATTTTGTTTAAATTATTTACTTACATAAATCTGTTTGCATACCAGACTAACCAACAACAACTTTGAAAAAATAATAGTGTTACGAGTAAACATCTTGTGTGTGCATACTTAGTTCTGTACGTGTTGGGTGTTTTTGAAGCCCAACACGGTTTTTAAAAAGTACGATTATAAATATTATAACATAATATATATAAATAGCTTTATTAAAATACTGAAGGTTTAGCGAGAATGAAAAAAAAGACTGCAAATGCTGCCTAATTTTCCTTTTTTCAAGTAACTAAATTTATTTAAAAAAAGTAAGATTGTTGACGTCAACTTATCTTGACCTCTCCCCTCCCCATGTCAACAAATGTAAAAAAAATTCAGACCACTCTACCTATTTTGTTGACGTAGTTTATGGATAGCCCCTAACTATAGCTTTAAGAGAAATCTATCTGCTTTTATCAAACAAACTTTAATTTGCAAATTTCCATTCACATTTATTTTTGGTGGGTAACCGTCTCAAGAAATCCATGAATTCGAAGGAAACGTCAATTAAACTCTTTTGTTTCTACAGAAATAAACATCCAATTTTGTATGTATTGTTTTTATGATACTTGCAGTCAAGCACTATGAGAGGGGGTGCAGTCGGTGCACCGCACCAGGGCCCATAAGAGTTTAGGGGCCCATAAATAATTTTTTTTTTGTGTATTTAAAAAAGTGTTTTTGATGTATGTGATTTACTTAACGTAAATTTTTTTTACTTCTGAATATTTTGGTTTTATAAATGGGACGTAGTGGTAAGTTAACAATAGAAAGAAAGACATTACACCGCAATTATAAAACTTGTCATTGTCAGACACTCTTTCAAATAAATGTAAAAAAACAACAAATCGAGTTAGAAACAAATACTGAATATGAATTAGAAACAAATAGAAATAAAAACAAAATTAGAAATCAAATGTAAATTTGGAAATAGAGAAAAATGAAAATGGCATTCATGAACAAATTAGCCATCGCAAAAATGAAATAACAACAGTGAAAAAAGAGCCTTTTATAAATATGAGCTTTTTACAAATATGAACGACATAGATATTGATTCAGAACCTGGACCTGATGCCACAGAAAATTCTAAATTAAGTAGTGATTCACTTCACCAATCAAGTACAAAACTTGACATTGGATTTATTACAGCAGAGTTTCCTTCTTAATCAGAAATAAATAACTTTGTTACCAGAGATCATATTGGCTTTCCTTTAAAACTGCCAAAGATAATTATAATCACAAAACTCCAGAAGGTATATTAAAGTTTAGAAACATTAAATTTGGTGGTGTTTATTTTTTATGTTTATCAAACGTATAATTAGAACTTACACGGTACTATTGTACTACTATTTTTGGGTTCTGGCAACTTTATTTTGTATTTTGCAAAATACTATTCTGAATTCTAAAATTAGGATGTTAGGGTAGCTGCCAAGAGGGCTTCTTAATCTCAAATAAAAGTTTTATTTTTATAAATTACTGTTTAGTAAATAATAAACATTAAATTATTTTGGTTCCTGTCATTTTTACTTTTGATACTCGTGTTGTATGACTGTCAACAACCGATTAGGCAACTATTATCATAAATAAAATCAGACATTTTTTTTTATCTTTTTTTTTAACTGAAGAAATTGCAAATCTGAATTTTGTCAATTTGTCAACGGCTGTTCAGTTCACCAGTTCTTTATTCTCATAAACATAATTTGAGTTATAAAATAATTAATTTCCACAATTCGGTCGCAGGGCCGGCGCAAGAACCATGCGAATTATGCGCTACACCGCGCTGGCGTAATCGATTTTTCTTTCTTCCTTTTTTAAAATAATAGTTTTGATTTTGAAAAAATAAGCTTAAATGTAATTTTTGATGTCTATAATGCGTACAAACTGTTTAAATATTTGGGGCGCCAAAGTTTATATCTTAATATTTTGATTTTGAACACTTTTGCTAAGCACTTAAATAAGTCAGTATATAAATAAGTCAGCACTTAAATGAAAAATAATTAGATCAAGAAGTATTAATAAGCTAATTGTTTGAAAGAATAAGTTTGTGAGTCATTATGGTAACAAATAAAAAAAAAAAAAAACCTTCGGGCTTCTTTTATAGAAAACGCAAATCAGATATAAAGAAGACAAAAAAAAAATCGAAGGCATCGATTAAATTTTTCTATATAAGAAACTTTTTCTATATAAGAAATTTTTCTACAGAAGAAATTTTTCTCTAAAAGAAAAAGATCCAAACGGTAATAAGCATCGATTCCAGATATTATAAAAATGTTCATTTATTACAACCAAGTAAGCTAATAATTACAAAATAATTTAGAGAGATATTTACCGTTATTAATACTTTAGAGAGAGATTTACCGTTATTAATAATTTAGAGAGATATTTACCGTTATTAATACTTTAGAGAGAGATTTACCGTTATTAATAATTTAGAGAGATATTTACCGTTATTTAAACCTTAATTACGATTGTGTTCGTGTTTTGTTTAGAAAATTTTGTTTCTTTTCTGTATTTTTATGGTTCTTATAAATTAATTGATATTATTTCTTCTTTATTTTATTTTTTTGTTTTGTTCTGTACTTTCCATCTGTCTTTTTTTGTTTGTATCTTTTAATCTAATTGTTTTTCCTTAAATCTTTATTATACCGATATGCTTTCAAGTGTCAGCTTTAGATAACTTCTCAATATTTTAGGACTCAGCTAACATTCAATAACGGAATTTTAGTGAACCTATATATCCATTTTGAGCGAATCACTGTAGGTTTGCTCATCGGTTACTTAATGTACCATTAATAACAGGCGTTCAAAGTGGCTAGCCATTATTAACGGAATTATGTCGGAATATTAACACTATCATGTTGTAAAGTTATCGGCTGCCACTAAAGATCCACTAATTCGTTGATTGCTAAAAGTTTGACCTTCAATTTAATGTTATAATCTTAGCAGTTCTTAAAAAAATTGGAAAGGGGGGAAGGGGGGGATTGGGTCTGCTAATTTGTAAGGTCGTTTCCTGTCTTTTCACTGGTATCAAGCAAATAGCAATTGGTGACCAAAAACGGAGTTAATTTTTGCTTCTGAATATATTTTTAAGTTAAAAAAAAATCTTTAGTATTTCAATTTTTTTCAAAGCATTTTCTAGATGAAAAGCTAAGGAAATAGTTTTTGAATATCGTAAACTCTTACAGGTACTTATAAATTACTCACCATACATTGTATTGTCCATACAGTTTGTAAAAAATTTGTTATAGTATTATAGTTTATATAATACGTATATGTGCAACATGTTACTTTATACAAAAAAAATTTTATTTAAAGAAAATAGAAATTTTACTATTCAGCACATTTTATATGCATTTAAAATTGTGCAAGAGATGTTAAAATTGTGCAACTTGATTTAGTCTAGTGCAGCTAATAAAGAGATAAGATAGCAAAACGTATCAAATAGACAAATAAGGTGGGAGAAAACGGTAGGGGGGGGGGTGAGCTATACAACCCTCAAAACACTTGTCTGAATTTTAAAATGAATGTCTTCTTTTTTTCTTAGCTAACTGTTTATTATATTAAGTATTTTCTAATTGTAATTGTAATAGACTAAACCTTTTCAAGATGTATTTAAGAATTTGAAAGTTTAATTAGCGAGATTAAATTGAATCCGTGCAATTTCACCAAATTTGTTTACATCCGCTTTCGGAACAACCAAAACCAACTTTTCCAATTTGTAGACATGAAATACATACAACTGAATAAGTTTAAAAAAAACATTACGTTTTATCTTCATCAAATGGTAAAAGAAGAGTTATTGACAGTGCTGAGCGAAATGTGGATTGGGTGACTCTAGCGCAAACTTTAGGTATCAAATAGAAGACAGCATACAATTGGGTTCGCAGCGGAAATTTAAATTTCATTGAAAGAGGTGGCTTTAAGCCAAAAAAATTAACCAATAATCAAATTGAAGAAACACTAACATGAATTGAAAGTGACTATCAGTTGATATTGGTGGCCATTAAAACAAGGATATTAACACAATTTAATATAAGCGTCAGCACAACCACAAAAACCGCAAGGCACAAGGAGCCTACTACAATGAATAGTAATGAGAACAAGCAAAAGAGAGCTGAATATGTTAGAAACATTAACAAACACATCACAAATGGTTATCAGATAGTTTGGTTGGATAAAACAAATTTTTGCCTTTTTTGTGTAAAAAGGCAAGGTCGTGCTAAATAGGTAAAAAGAGCAATAATGAAAATACCTTCATCAAGGTACAAACATTTGATTGCAGCTATACCAACAACAAATGTCGTCATGATGGAAACTCGCAAAGCATTGTTTAAAGCAGATTCTTGTTACGATTGGATGTTGGCTATGTTTTACCAGTGGGTTACATCCGGAAATCGTTTATAGAATTTG